CAAAAAACAACATTCAATTTATATATTGCAATTATCACCATCTACAGATAAAGATAGGTGTCAAAGAAAAAAAAAAAAAAAAAAAATAGGAAATTTAAAACAGACAAAGGGTATATTCACCTGTGTATTCAGACTGCTGTTACTATCAATTCTTTCAGAATTGTTCATTTAAAAAAACTCATGACCATCAATTATAACTATTCCTCGTTTCAGTCACTGACTTTATTTTTTCAGGTTTAAACAAAGACTGTTCAAGTCTTTCCTAAATACAGTAACATTCCCTAACTTCAGTTCAGATCATTCATTCTAGTTCTAAATCACTCATTAACTTTATCCTTCATTTCTCTTTTAAGTTTAGAGGTATAATTTATTTTGTTACTGTAATCATCTACATCTAGAATAATTTTAAATCTAGGCTCAAAAATCTTTTTCTGCCTTGAATACATTACCACCAATACCAATACACAAGGAATTTCTCCTGTAAACAAAATTTTATATCCCCTAGATTCACTTTTTACATTTAAACAAGTTTTCAAGGTTGTCCCCATATCTGACAAATCTCATCCATAAAAGTTTACATAACACTGTGCATGACAGGTAAGTACTATTTGGTAGAGTCAAAACATTTTGATCAGAATTTACAGAGCCATGGTCTGAACAGGTGTATCTGAAAGAAATTTACAAGCACATGCTTTCTGAATGCGGGAAAAAGATATCTCCCCTGTACAGCTCCACAAACCATTCATGAAGCAACTACTGAATACCTAACATGTTATATACTACAGCAAAGAATATCGAAACAGAGGATCTTATCTTTGAGGGAAAGAATCCTTAAGCATAAACCATGTACAATCAGATATGAAATTATATAATCATATCCAAGCACTGTGTGTGTTATAGTTTGTAAGTAGCATGGGAATGCAGAAAAAAATGGTAGATATGATGTGGAGTAGTTAAGAAATAGTTCATGGAGAAGAAATCTCAACACTGTGGAAGGGAACACAACACAAAGAAAAGTACAGACAAGATGACAAAACCTACACGTATGAAAAGAAGTTAGAACACTGAATCAAGTGGAAATTGGCAAGAGTTTTCTCCAAGAAAGAGAAATAAAGTTGAAAAGACCAGATTAAAGTTTATTATGTTAGTCCTTAAATGAAAAGTAATTTTAGTTTTGAAGAGTAATTTTAGTTTCATAAAACAAATAACAGATAACAAGTGATATATCTTGTCAGAAAAATAACAATATAAATTTAAAGTTAGAACCAAAATTATAGCAAAGCCAAATGGTAATTCAGTAGTCAAGACATGAAATAAGAGAGTTGTTATTTTGTATGATGTCAATGACAAATGGAAATATGGGAGGGAGTTAATATATTTCATAGGCTGATAACTTTACTATGAATTGTGAAGAGATTCTCATTAATGATGACAGACACAGAATAATGAAGTGTATATCAGGTGAGAAAAATAATATAGAAATAGATAATGCAAAAGAATTAAAGAGCTGGAAAATTTAGTGATTTTCTTTTCTGACATACTGTCATATAATAGGTGAGACATCAGAGTACAGAACTCCTAAAGGCGTAGAACGAAGGTGGAAGAAATGTGCAGAGTATGTCCATTTAGAGGTATCAACATAAAACACGAAGCTTAAGTCCTGAGAATGGATGAGATTATTATAATTCAAAGGTTTATCCCTTGAGAAATCAAATAAGACTGAGAGTCTAGTAAGCAATATACGTTAAAAAAAATTTGTGTGACTATTATATGCTAGGTATTGTTCCAGGAAATATGGCCACAGTAGTGAAGAAAATAGACCAAGTTGGAAATAATCACTCAAAAAGTCAGGATAAGAATGAGTTAATGTTTTACCCAAATCAGGACTGATTTAAGAAATGATGGTCAGCCATATAAAATGAACCATCAAATTTAATGGAAGTAAATGCTAACTGTAAAATTATCAGTCTGGGCCAAAGCAAGAAAGTTTTAAAATAGCTAGATTTATAGTAAGAATGGCAACTTAGTACAAAAAACAAATATGAGGTAATAAAAGAAGGAAAATGGAAAGCAAATAAGAGACACATTAACTGAAATTTTTCTTTTCTAAAGATAGATTTAAGAAAGCACCCCCCCCCAAATCTATATAATGGTAAGGAGATAATTCTGAGAAAGCTAGAAATAAACAAATTTTAAAAAATCTAAAAAAACCATAGGCCTATAGTACACTTTAATTATGTCAACAATGGTAACTATCTTTCATAACATTATGCAAATTAGGAAAGAATATTTACAGGGAAAGTGATATTTGAAAGTTTGCTTTAAGTCTGCAGGCACAATGGTTATTTCAAAGGTTAGGAGCCTTTGAAATAAGTAGTAAAAAGACACTCTCCAAATGTTTCAAAGGTGCCAGCCAGCACCTGACCACTATAAAATTTACTTTCCATTAGATTTCATCAGCCTGAGAGTCAGAAGCTCACCTAAGCAGGTATGACCTGTAAATGATGTCCATGGCTCTTCTCCTCGTTCCAACTTGAGGATCACATCAGGCTTGGTCATGCGACACCCTGATTAAAGAAGATGTGGATTAAGTTGCTTAGGCTTAACTACATTTGAAAAATCAGTAAGGTGCATTTTCAGTACTACAAATTAATATACACCTTTGTATAACAATAAACTTAACACCCCGCACCAGGTAAGTGAAAACGCAATCATCCTTTCTACTAACCAAAAAGGATTCCTCACCTCTTATCCCCGAAATTCAAAATGACACATAGTTTAGGCATTTTGAAAGGAAATACATGCTACTGAAAGTTTCAGAGACGTTTTCTTACCCACAGAAACGAGGTGGCAATAGTTTTCCAACATCACATCCATGTACAGAGTCTTCTGAGCAGGATCCAGGTGCTGCCACTCCTCTCGAGTAAAGTCCACAGTCACATCTTTGAATGAAACTGATCCCTGCAATGGAAAGGAACTGTATTCAGAACGGGTTGACTAGATATTGGGACTAGTTTTGATCCCATTCTTTGTGGCACTCATATGAATACTTGTAATGAAAGCCTATCATTTTCCTTGTTTTGTGATTAACATTGTGAGGGAAACGAAAATCAAAGGACAAGTACCTGCTGGCAGATTCATTCTAAACTCATTCTAAAAATATTTACTATGAAGTCACTTTGTACCCCCAAACTGCATTCTTTTCCTAGCATGCCAAGATAGAAAACACTATCCCTGCTCACAAGAAGTTAAAGCCTCAAAGCATGTAACACATATCTTCAAGAAAGACACAAACTTAGAAGAAAGTGTTACAGTTACTAAAACAGAAGTATGTGTGAGATGCAGTGTATTGCAAGGTCAGAACAATTTTTTCTGGCTTCACTGGGGAGGTTAATTTTTTCTCCCTTCGAGATTAATGTGTTATGCAAGAAAACCATGGTTTTAAAATGCATGGAGTGACTTTCAATATCCAGTAAAGCACAGTGAATTGGTCAGGAAAATAAACCTCAGATAATAATTATAAAATGTGAACATAATATATAATAAATAAATAACAGATGGCGCTGAAAAGCAACCAGATCAATCAAATATTCTGAAAGGACAGCAACTACAAAGGCTAAGAACTATTAGGTTTTTGGCTTTTTTTTACGTCAAGGTACCTGAAACCTCACAGCTCTTAAGGCAGAAAACCACAGCATACATCCTCAAAGGTGGAAGAGAACAGAATTTAGGATGGCAGATGAGCTGCAGATTTAGGGATAAATTCTGGAAGTGAGAGAACTATAGAACAGATAAGACCTAAAATCTGAGTACAAACTCTGCCAGAACTCCAGGTTGATAGTCAAATTAAGCAATTGGAGAGATCACAGAGAACTGAGCAAAAAGCAGACAGAAGATACTAAAAAGAGTTTTGAACAACAGAAGTGCGATTCTGAGATTTCTTCATTTAACAGCATTCCACAATCTGCTAATAGCTCAAGCAGATTCAGGTGTCAGAAGATGGGGCTGACAAAGCAGCAGGAAGTATAAGGAAAGAAAACATTAGGGAAAAAAGAGAACTGGAGAAAGTAAACCCCCAAATCTATGTATAAACACTCACTAATTCCTTGCCTTTGAGCTAATGTACATGAAAACAAGGAGAACCTACCTCCCCTCAGGGTGCAGAGTAAAAAGCAGCAGCTAGAAGCTTAAGAACTAAGCTGATCTATCAGCTGCTTCACACTTGAGGGAGAAGGGGGTGGGAGGCAGTAGGGCAGAGTATGAAGCTTGATTCCAACCAATTGCCTGTGAGAACAAAAACCAATAAACCTCAGCAACAGACATAATAGAATTCATATTACTATAACATATTATTCACAATGTCAGGTTTCTAGCAAAAATTACTGGACATACAAAGAAAGCAAAACAAAAATGAGAGGGGAAATATGACCCCTATTGAGAAAAAGTCAGTCACAGAAACTAATTCCTAGTGAACACTGATGCTGGATTTTACCAAAAAAAGGCTTTAGAGCATATGTTCTAAATGTGTTTAAAGAAGCAATAGAATGATGTCAGAAGCGTGGCAGCATGAGGTATCTCCCCAGAAATCTTCCCTTGAAATAACAACGAGCTGAACATCTACGATTCAAATAACACCCAATATGCACACAAGCACATCTGAGAGGTCTGCGCATCAGAGCATCCAAAGGTGAATAAAGCCACGTGTCTGGGAGGTGGATGAGGACAGAGGAATAAAGTAACTGTGATAGGAGCTGGAGCTCTCTGCAGGACAAGGGGGAGGGGAGGTTTCGTGGCCAGTTCTTGGCTCTTTGAAGATCCAGACAGTCCTGAAGGATCAGCACATTCCACGCAGTGGTGCCTAGTGATCAGGGCAGAGACTGAGTGTGGCTGGGTGACAGCTGTGTCTTAGCAACTGCCATTGCCAGTGGGAAGGCGAGTCACAGAGCCTGGTCACGTCTGGTCATGCCCCTCTTCCCCGTATCCTCCCAGAGCTAGCACCTAGCCCCAGGGGAATTTAAATAATCAGTACTGAAACATACACTACAGTGATATCTAGGCAAGACAACTGAAACCTGGGGGATAGCATTATGGGAAGAGAAACAGCTACAAACACTACCTCATTTCCCAATCAACCTCACCCCCATTCAGTCAGGCTGATATGGAAGGAAGCTAAGGGGACCTTGCATCTGACCTTGGGGCAGTAATGGGGCTTCAGGGACTTTTCAGAGGATTGAAGCCCCATCACCCACTGTATCCTCCAATGAGGGTGGATCCCTGGGACTGAGGTGACCTGGTTACAGAGGAGGCACACAGCCCACCAGAGAGGAAGGGTCATTTTTAATCTCAAAGCAGAGGTCCAAGAAACTTGGATTCCACCTACTAGAAATCAAAAGAAAACCCCCTTTTTATCAACCTCCTAAAGAGACAACACTTTATTATGAATTTTCTTGGGGAAAAAAGAAAAAAAGGCAGAGTACACTTCCAAAATACCCAGGCGGAAAAATGGTCCATCAAACACCATGAACAACCAATGTAACAAGGCAGCACAGAAAGAGAAAAATTTCCAGAAAATAAGCTTCAAGACAAAGAAATATGCAATTAAAATGACAAAGAATTTGAGACTGCACTTCAGAAAAAACTCAAGATGAAAGAAAATTCTGATTGACAGTTCAATGAACTCAGAAACAAAACAAAAAACAAGAATACCTTACCACAGAGAATAAAGCCCTAAAAAAGAACCCAACAGAACTTCTGGAGATGAGGTACTCATTAAAAAAGATGAAGAATAAAATAGCAAGCTTAGGAGATAAAGCTGACCAGATGGAGAAAAAAATTAGTGATATGAAAAACAGAACTCTGGAAATGACACAGAAGGATGAATAGAAAGACTTGAGAATGAAAAAAAAAAAATGAAAGAACTCTACAGAAGGATTATCTGACATCATCAGAAAAAGCAAAGGAAGAAAATGAGTATACCAGGAGAGGGAGTAGGGAACAGAGAACATATTCAGACAAATAGTCGATGAGAATTTCCCAAACCTATCAAAGAACTGAATCTTTGAACACAGGAAGCAAAAAGCAAACCCAATTATCTCAACCAAAAGAGGCCTTCTCCAAGACACATTATATTAAAACTGTCAAAAATTAATGACAAATTGTTCTCAAGGCAGCCACGGAAAAGAAGATAATAACTTATAAAGGAAAATCCGCTAGACTATCAGACTTCTTAGCACAAACGTTACAAGCAAGGATGGGGTGGAACCAAATATTCAAACTACTGGTGAGAGAAATTACCAGCCAAGAATAATATAGTCAGCAAGAATAAGAGATATAAAGGAGAAAAAAAGACCTTTCCAGACATACAAAAAGCTGAGGAAATTTTCCACCACAAGGCCTGCTGAAGGGGTCACTGTACCTGAAACAAAAGGTCAAAAAATTATATAACTATTAGTAAGATAACTAAAAGGCAGACAGAAGCAGGAAAGTGCAACCCTTATTAAGAACAGAGTATTATAAGCTTAAATATTACATAATGGTAAAAGGCAAAAAGAAAAACCAATTGAAAACAAGAAAATAAGAAATGAATGTATAACATATATAGGAATAACTTGAGGCAACAAAAACACAAAAGGGGAGGGAATAAAGATCCAAATTTGCAAAAGAGAGTGGAGATAAGGCACACATAGAAAAATGGACCACTGTATATATATATATATCTATTCTTTACATAAACTCAGTGGTAACCACACACCAAAAATCCAGAACTGAAACACATATCATAAAACGAGGGAACAGAGCGAAAAATCATAGAACAAAATCAAATTAAAATGACAGAAACAGAGAGATAAAGAAACAATGAACTAAAAACCTTCCTTCTAAGATCAGGAACAAGGCAAGGCTGCCCACTATCGCCACTGTTATTCAATATAACATTGGAGGTCCTAACAAATGCAATTAGACAAGAGAAAGATATAAAAGGCATCCAAATAGGAAACAAAGATGTCAAACTGTCACTATTTGCAGATGACATGATTCTCTATATAGAAAACCCTAAAGACTCCACAAGAACACTACTAGAAACAATTAGCAAATACAGTAAAGTTTCTGGATACAAAATCAATGTTCGAAAATCCACAGCATTCCTATACTCTAATAATGAAGTGTCAGAAAAAGAAGTGGAAAAAATAATTCTTTTTGCAATTGCAACAAAAATAATAAAATACCTAGGAATAAATCTAACAAAACAAGTAAAGGACCTATCTAATGAAAACTGTAAGACCCTATTAAAAGAAATCACAGAAGATACAAAGAAATGGAAAGATATTCTGTATTCTTGAATTGGAAGAATCAACATAGTTAAAATGACCATATTATCTAAAGCAGACTTAATGCAATTCCCATCAAAATCCCATCAGCATTTTTTAAAGAAATAGAACAAAAAAATCATCAGATTTGTATAGAAGCACAAAAGACCCAAATTGCCATTCTGAGAAAAAAAAAATGAGGCTGAAGGCATCATTCTACTCAACTTCAAATTATACTACAAAGCGACAGTAATCCAAATGGCATGGTATTGGCAGCAAAATGGACAGACGGACCAGTGGAACAGAATCTAGAGTCCATAAGTAAACCCATATTTATATGGGCAAATAGTTTT